GAGTGGAAGGTGGTCGTTTGTATGGGTGATTGTCTTAGACAAGTGATGGTTGTTACAGCAGCTTTGACGATATGTGTCGCGACGTGGTGGAATCAGGCGCTCGTCAATTTTTTTTATTTCATCATTTTGACAAGTGCCTGATTTCACCACAATGCCTTACATATTAAACCTGTCGTGTTCATTTAAAAATAACTTTCGTTGGAAATCCCAAATGTAAAAAAGCTTTAGCTGTAAAAGTCAAGTGGTGGGTACGAGATGTTACAAAACGGCTTTTTCCCCCTTGTAATATATCAGGAAGAGGAATGAAAGGGAACTTTGAACAGTTTATGTTACTATACTGAATGAAAGTAAAGAAAATGACATATTTCGAGATTTGAATTTTATTGGATGTATTTTAATGAAAGTGGCAGATCCCACGGCCTGTCTACATTGTTTGGAGTACGGCATCACTTTTTGAAAAGGCTTAAAAGAATTAAATAGTAGGATTGTTTGGCATTAAGAGAAGCACATTAACTCAATAACGGCCTTGAAATAGCAAGATAGACAGACCGAAGTAGCAGAGAGAATGAAAAGAAATAACAGGATAGATGGACAAAAACAGCAGAGAGACAGGAAAGAAATTGAAAGATAAATAGACACAGCTCACAGCTGTGGAAAAGAATAGAAGTACAACCAACCACTGTCCTCCCCCTCAACCTCCAGTGCGTGTCGATGTGTGTATGAAAGCCAAAATAGAGTCCGCCGATATTTGTGATCTTTACCTCAGCTATTTGTCCTAGATCTAAGTCGTGGCTTTTGATTTTGACGAGGAGTGTGAGAACCGACTCGATTTGTCATCATAAATGTCTGTTAAAGCCGCATTCAGACCAAAGACCCACGTCTGTTTATGCGTGTTACTGGGCTGTCGTGTTCATACCCGCACCACGTACAGATTTGTTGGGATGCCTTTTTTGTCTGGGGCAAATTGAAGTCTCACTACTGGTTTTGTATTTTCTCAGATATTGAAGAACCAAGGTAGAATTCTAGTATATTTGGAGTTTGCATCAAAATTTGACAGGAGGATGGATTCAATATCAGATTTAATCATTTCAATTTTTAAAATGTGTTCGGAAAAAAAATTTCCCTTCCTGAATTTTCCCAACTACACGGGACTAGACAGAAGAAATGTTAAGGCCTGCCATAAAGCTGACTAGACAGACTCTCGTCAACTCCCTTCAAGGGTAAGACGAGGGGGGGGCGTTGGTCTGAACGCTAGCAAGCAGGTGAGAGTGAGATCGTGTACAGTGGACTCCGCTTATGTTCAGCTCACGAGTAGATCTTCGTAAGCTGACCTATTTCTTGAATCCCTCTTCTTGTTAACAGATCCCAACGATTAAGGTGAGCTTTGAATGAGTTGATTTTTTGTTCACTCCCCCTACAACATCAATAAGTCTGTCCCCGCGTTTTTATGCAAAAAAAATTCTGAAAATTATGCAAACTGAGCCCAAAAATGTGAAATTGTGCGATTCTGTTAATTTTTTAACAAAGAATGAGAAAGGAAAATAATCAGCAATAGTGAAAAAAAAAAATTAAATTTTGCTAAATAATGCGGGGTGCATAAAACCCTGGGGACCGATAAGTTTATAAAGAATTAAAGTGGTCGGCGCATGGGATGGAAGGACTTGGACAAATGTGGATGTTGGTCTGAATGCACTGTAACATACAGCGTTACTTCATCTGCTCATTTTTCTTTGTTTATACATTTTGTCGACTTGAGTCAAGAGAAATTAGATTCTGACTCATGGGCAAAGCCCATGGGGGTGCTTGTGTTTGTGAGGTTGTGAGAGAATATGTGAGCGTGTGTTTGTGTGTATGTTTGTGTGTGTCTGTGTGTGTTTGTGTATTTGAAGTACCGGTACGGTAAGACTGTCAGTTGATGCTGTGTATATCCAGCTTTACCAGGCTGATTTCTCTTACAGTTACTGCCAAGGTTTTGATCTCATTCTTCATACATTTTAATCTTTTGTTGATCTTCGTATTTTGTGATAACATTGTTGCTGGTGAGCTTCTGCAGAGCAACATTTTCCTCTGCCATGAAAACAAACAGCTGCACTCTCTTCCTTTATATTTTATATTTGTTCCAACTTATTGAGAGGATTTTTCTGTTTGGTAAGAATGTGTAATCTGAAACAATGGAGTCTGCTTATTGTAGTAAATAAGCCAAAGGAAAGTATAATTTCTTGTTTTGCAAAAAATATAACCAGTCCCAATTCTTTCCATTTTATTTTAGTTTCAATTTCAGGGGGTTTTGGCAAACAATGTCTATAAATCGAATAATAAACTAAATACAGTAGGAGCCTACTTAAACCAAAACTTTCTAACTGACACATTTTATTCGTTTGAATGGTTGCTCAAATGGAGGAATTTTCTGAAATGGGGAATTTAGTTTTCTTTTGGTTTACTGTTGTTTTAAGATTAACCTCATTCGGTTTACATGGACTCTACTATATAATTATGTAACATAATGGATCCAGGCGCTTGTCAATTTTTGATCTTATGGAGTTTTTTATACCATCAATTCATTTGGCTTGCTTTTGATAAAAAATATAGGCCTACTCTTCTTTTTGAATAGATGTCGAGATATTTTCTAGTGAAGGAAATAGGGGCCACCTGGTGTCAGAGATAAAATTAGCAAGAAAATGGCTGCCAAAGTTTGGTGACTTTCAAAGTTTGAGTGCTTGGAAACTGCAAATTAAGACTTTTGTGCCTTTCATCAACTGTTTTCTGTAAAATCCATACAGAAATGTATTTTTAGATTGACATAAAAGATGTCGAATTTTTAAAAATCTATACAAATTGCGTAATGAGCGCATAAAAAAGGTGGTCTTCTTCCATTTCATTAAATTGCGGAGCACCTGATTTGACCACGCTGCCACATGTTTGGTCTGTGTTAGTCTGTGACAGAAAGACTCCATTGAGTGATGTTACATTAGCCGTCGGTTTTTCTTTCTCTGACTGAACACGTGGGAGAAGCACAGTGCTGTTTGTTTCAAATGTTCTTGTGGAGAAAACTGTGACAGATTTGATGGAACTTTGAAGCTGTCATGTTATGTATTACTACTACAAATGGTACTTAATAACTTATAGCCATCTTGTCTGATTACGGAATACTTCTTTTTTTTTTTACTGCATCTGAAAATACTGAAATGATGTGTGTTTTATTTATTTCAAGAGTGACTGCAGTGCTTTTTATTATTTGCCTGACTTGGGTATGTTTGGGCATGTGAGGAAAGTAGGCCTATAATGAGGTGTGGATTATACTTTCTACAAATTATATTTCTGTGAATGCTTGTAAAGGTTTGATCTGTTTACTACAGTCAGGTAGGCTACAGATTTATCTTTATACAGTCAGGCATAGATTTATCTTTATACAGTCAGGCACAGATAACACGAACACAGGAAATTTGAAATCGAGGACAGTTCGTGCAATTTGCCGTTCCTCGACTGATATCACTTTAAATTTTCCCTTTATTGATTTACCCAAATTATGCACATACGATGTGTCAAACACAGGGATCAATCCCCAGCATGTCTGAGTTATCCGTGCCAGACTCAGTAACTGAACTTGTTGTTTTTGTCCTAGTCAAATTTTCCACGATCCTATCCTTTGATGCTGGTCAAGTGGCTGCATAGAATTCCATGAGTCACGGTGTGTCGAGAGAGAGATCTGGCCATGTCTTGTCTATTTGTCCAGAGAGAGAAATCTGGCCGTATCTTGTCTGTGAGTCGCTATACTTAAATGCTAATTCTTAGTACTTATTAGAGAGTTATGTGAGTCATGTTGTCAGCATCAAGCGCCTCAGCGAAGAATGTGACCATACCACTACTGTAATACTTACATTTTTACGTCCGTGGTAACCTGCTTAAAACCCTTTTTTTTTCTATAACAGTTTTACGTTATTGAATTTTTGTGATTTTTTAACGAAATACACTGGTCTCATCCTGCTGTCCTCTAGGGTGACTCCCCATTCAGTCCGGCAGACTTCAACTTGTGATGTTTAGTTTAGCAATTATCCTGCAGTTTTCCAACAGAATTCATATCCTATCACTATCGGTAA